TTTTTTTTTTTTTTTTTAATTTTGTTCGAATTTTATGATTTTTTTTTTCGAATTATGTGTCATAACATTCATATAAAATTGGCCACATTTATCAATTTATAAGGTAATATATTTTTTGGCCATATTTAAAAAAAAATTTAAAAATTGAATTTTTTATTATTATTTTTAAATAAGGACAAAACAGTATTTTAAGGGTGCGATAAATAGTAAAAATGGGTGCGGTGAATATTAACCCTCATTTGAATATTTAGTGTACAAATTATATACTATCACACCCTAATTCTTCTCCACTGCCACGTCCAAAACTGTCTCTCTAAGACCAAAATTTTCTCAGAAATTGACTCAATCACATTTACCCTCCTCCATGGCCGAAACCCCTTCAACCCTTTCCCCGCCCCTAGCCAGCCCACAATCCGTATCGGGCCTTGATTCCCCCCAATACTGGTGCTACCACTGTGACAAGCGCGTCGCCGTCGAAACCCTACCGGATCTCCCCGACGTCATCTGCTCCGACTGCAAGAACGGCTTCGTCGAGTCCATCTCCGCCGCCGCCCTCCCCACTCCGGCCTCCTCGGGCGATCCCTCCCTCGGCAACCAGTTTATCCAGGTCCTCCGCCTCATCGCCCAGGCGGCGCGCGAGGAGGACGCTCCGCCGCCTCTCCCCTCCGATCCGTCGGACGAAGACTACCTCCGGATCGAACCCGACGGATGGGGCAACGAGAACGACGATGATGAAAACGAGGTCAACCGCGCGGTCGAGGTCTTCCACGAGGAAGATGACGCCACCGACTACAGATCTGACGGCGAGGAAGAAGACGGTATCAATGTGGTGGAGCCGTCGGAAGCAGAGGATGATGACGAGGATGAAGATGAAGATGAAGATGAAAACGAAAACGAGGATGAGGCGCGGCAGACCAGGCGCGATATCCTCAGCGGCGGAATACAATCATGGACTGGGCTGATCTCCTGATGGGGCTCGAGGACCCAATTGAGCTGAGGCTCCAGGACACCTACGTTGGGAACCCAGGGGATTACGTGAATGCTGCTGAATATGAAGCCTTGCTGCAGAATTTGGCGGATAGTGACAGCGGGGCCAAGCACGGGTCCCCGCCAGCTGCAAAAGCAGCCATGGAGGGGCTGCAGAGCATGTTGGTTGAAAAGGAGGAGGATGTGATGGTCTGTGCTATATGTAGGGATACAGTAAGTATTGGTGAAATTGCCAAGAATTTGCCGTGCAGGCACGGGTATCATATCGAGTGTATTGTTCCGTGGTTGGGTTCGAGGAATACATGCCCTGTTTGCAGGTTTGAGCTGCCCACTGATGATCCGGATTATGAGGAGGAGAGGAAGAAGAGGGTTGTTGTGGGGGGTTTAAGGGCAGCATCCTCTGGTTCTTCTTCTGGTGATGATTCTGGATTTGAATGATTCTAATGGTAATGGGAATGGGAATTTCTGCAAGCGGATTGCGTTTTTCTTGGTTAGTTGTTTAGCTTTTGCTTTCGTTATGGGTTTTAGTTATTTTTTATTTCAATTGGGAATATCAACATTGTTTGCGCGCTAGATTGTTGTGTGCAGGGTTGATTCATTATCATGTGGTTTTTTCTTATCTTGTAAATAGCAAACTCCAATTGGAAAATTGCTCCCCGTAAAGTTTCCATAGGAAGGGCACTTGTTATCAATGTTTTATACTTGGTTGTGTTTCTCTCCCAAATTCTATATAATGTGTATGGAAACTCTTGAATCATGCTTTGATTTGGAGGAGCTGTTTTTTCTTAGCCATTTGATGAGACCTCTGTATCAACAAGCTTAGGTGTCGTATATTGCCAAAATACATGCACAAAACGCATCAAGGATATGGGACAAGAAAAAATGAACGAGAATTCATCATTGCTGTGTTGTTGTTGGACTACTAAAGCAATCATCATATATCAATTCATCATTGCATGGAATTTCTTTCTGATTCTCCCATGAGTTCCCGTGTTCTCTGAAAATACATGTGAATTTGCTTTGCTGAACTTGTCAGATGAAGCTTCTTTTTGTTCTTTTACCAAATGATGACTTGAGGTGTTCGGTGTTGTAAATGATTCATTCAGATCCTTCGTTCTTACCGTTTGAAGATTCATTCACTTTGGCATTTGCATTTAGAATGCATTCCATTCTCTATAGAATGACATACAAATTCTTGATTCATAACGCTCGCATGCGAGTGAAGTTGTTGGATACACCTAGAAATGAAGATTAGTTATGCTTGCATATGGTACCATCCACTATCTATTGTAGTGGGTGGCTCTGAAGTTTTTTTTTTTTTTTTTTTTTTTTCTCCAAATCGGGGTATTGCTTGTTGTGATGAGCCGTGTCCCTTAGCATGACACAGCTTAATGTGGTGGTGGTTCATATTAGAGTATGGTCAGACATGCCTGTGTGATTGTGGAATTTAAGAATTTGTCTGAGCTGTTATACTAACATCATGGAAAATAGAACTTCAATGCGTATTATGGGTTTTTACTTTACCCATCAACTGGTTCCCAGTATTCGAGGATTTTTTGTAGTGTCTGGCAAGAATAGTTGCTTTTAAGGAAACGGGTGGATTGCATTTAGTTCAGAGGTGACTGAAAATTGAAGGAGCTTGGTGCTTTGATTAAAATTATCTCTTGATTTGCACTTTGTCTGCATCCCAATAATCTCCACGAATGAACATAGACTAGTAATTTGGAATTTCCCGTTTTATTGTATTGGAATTAGACCTCATGTCATGTTGAATTGGATCAAATGGCAATTATATTAATAACTTGGAAACTTATGAGAGTACAATCGAAGAGTCAAGTTACACCACTAATACTAGAACGAAGTTTGGACAAACTCCTCTTACACACAAGTGGGTTCATACTCCATCAAGGAGACGAACTATCACAAAACAAAAGTTCAAAAAGGAGACACGAACTCATATAAGAGACTGAACAAAGCAAAAAAACGAAGAAAGACAAAAACACAACGCAGACCTAATAAACAAATAAAATAAGACCTCCCCACTATCGGATAAGTTGAACAACCTCTCAAACGTAAAATTGAATCACACACCAAAGTACAAAAACTCAACCAAAAAAACAAACCTAGACCCCATACCTAAAATTTGAGGTCGAAATCGAACCGCATACACAGATCTAGCAGGGAGTCAAGCCCCGATCCAGATCTGAGCTCCGAAGAACTTCAACACCGAGGGAGGAGGCGCCACAAAACATCGGACGAATCAAAGACGAGACCCAAGGAGGGAACGCCCCAAGCTACTGGAAGCCACGCGGGCGCCTCAGTAGAATTGCAGATAGAGAAATGATGCGTGTTGGGGACGACTATAATGATATGAGCTTTGGACTTGCCTCAACTACAAGTACAAAAATTCGACAAAGTTGTACAATGTAAATTATTCCCAGATTAAAAAGTTCTGATGATGTTAATCCTTCAATTCACATTACATTTTTGGTTGAGTTTGGTTTTACGACCACCACAAGAATTTGTGGGACAATGGGAGGATTGTTTTGGTTTGAAGTTTTCGAAAATGTTAAACGTTTTATGAGTGAGAGATATGTCATTTGCATAGTATTCTTGGCCAAAATGTTCAAGGTTGGCACACATGTAATGACAATGACTAATAATTGTTTTTACCTTCCCTTCTTAGTGGATGATCGCTCGAGTGTGTTTTTCAGTTGAAAGAAAATCTCATTGTTTTTGTTTTCTTTGTTGTGGAGAAAATTTTACAGCAAATGCAACGGTTTGTAGCTTTGTGTACTGATTATGGTTTACAAAAGAAAGAGAGTTTTAGAAGCATATAAAAAGATGATTGCATACACTGAAAATTACAATAATGTTGTTTGTACTTTGTAGTGCATTTGCGAAACAACCTCCTAAAGAAAAAAGGGAAAAGAAGAAAACAAAATGATATATTCGTTACAAAAAATAGTTAAAACTTCTAACATTTTTATGTACAAGAAAAGACGCCTTTCATTAAAGATTCACCGGAAAGTATTGCTGTAAACGAACGGAACCGAATTGAGTTTGGGTTGTTCGAGCTCGTGTTCGTTTACGTTCGAAAAGTTTTCGTGTTCGTTGGTTTATTTTTCGAGCAAAAAATTGTGTTCGAATTCGTTCGTTTAATTGTTCGTCAAAGTTCGAGTTCGTTCGTGTTCGAATAATTTAATGCATAAACTTTTTAAATATGTTTGATTAACTCGAAAGTTCGAACTTTTAAATAAAAGAATAAAATAAAATTATTTTTATATTTTAGACTTTTTATTAAAAATATTATGTAAATATATAAAAAATAAATAAAATTATATTAAATTTTAGATTTTGTATTAAATATATTTGTAAATCTATAAAATATAAAATAAAATTATATTGAACTAGTATGTGGCCCGTGCGATGCACGGGTAAATAATATTAAATAATAATTATAAATTGACGATATAGGTAAATAATATGTATTCGTTTGGGATTTTGAGTACCACTTTGAGATTTTTTTAAGATTTGAGTTTAAGATGGTCAAATTCTAGAGGAAAACTATGAAATCTTAAGTGTGAATGTGAGATTTAGAGTGAAATTTTGTATAATATTTTTTTCTTTTAAATCATAACTAATTTTAAAAAGACCTAACAAATTTTGATCTCAAATAAGTTAAATATTTAAAGATATTTTAAGATTTTTTTAATTTTTAAATATCAAAGATGAACCGTTTTTGTTACCAAAAAATGTGGACACAATTTAGAATGTACATCCCGTCCAAATGTCAGTTTTATTCTAAAATAAAAATTGCACATGGTTTTATCCAATTTACACACTTTTTAAAAAAAATATTCAATAAGATTGGAAGAATTAGTTAAGAATTATACAACTATTTGTTTCCAAAATTTGTATCCAATTTGTACGGTTTTTAAGTTAATTTGTATTTAGAATTGTTTTCATAAATAATTGACACATTTTTTTGCATAAGAATCTCCAAATTTGTTACCAAAAAATATATGATTTAAATTTTGGTAAAAAAAAAATAAAATATGATACGAAAAAAATGGAATTCAAATTTTGCCATAAGAATTTTCAAATTAATTACCAAAAAAATAGGATTAAGATTTTGCTACTAAAGATTCACATGTATTTTTTTGAACTTTCCATTAATAGTAAGTCAAACATTATATTTATTTGGTCGTAATGTATTTTTTCAACAACCTCTTTATATATATATAAATATAGATTAATGTTCGCGAACATAATCGAACGTTCACAAACGAACCCGTGTTCATTCGATTATTAAACGAGCTTAATTTTCTGTTCGAACTCGACTCGATTAACAACGAACGAGCTTTTGTCGAACACGAACGAACTTTTATTCGCGAACGTTCGATTCGTTTACAGCTGTACCGGAAAGGAAGGGATCAATACTAAATAAGAAATGTGCCTCACATTNCACCAAGTACATCCAAACACACTAGAAACACTAAAAACTAGCTTTTAATGTATATGTCTCATTGAACTCATTCTCAAACAGCCAAATTACCAAACCACAACAACCCAACCATTATTTACTTCCTAACAATCTCTCCTACAAATATGTCAACATGAAACTCTGTTATTCAGGTTAACAAACGTTAAAATGTATAAGAACTACTAACTGGCCACCATTGTGGCCACCATTAGTAATAGGAAAAGCACCAGATTAAATCTGACCTACTTCCATGGAGACGTATAATGATTAAAAGGGTAATTTTCCCACCCAGTATCCGGCTCTTTCCTTTTCCCTCCCACAGCTGAACTCATACTGGGCTGCGAGTCGGGCTTCTGCTGCTCCCCCACGGGCCCAACTCCACTCGGGCTCAAGAACTGCATGAAGCCCACAGGATTCTGGCTCCCACCTTCCCCCATTCCCATTCCCGAGTTGAGATCCAAACTCCCCCGTGAAGGCCCAACACCTTCAGGCCCATTCGCGATAACTCCAGTAGCCCCAAGCCCGTTTGACGGGCTTGGGCCCGTCAGGTTCAAGAAAAAGGGTGATGTTTGAGAGAAACTAGCCTGCAAAGACGCTGGAGTCCCCAAAATCTGGGGAACAGGTGCGTAATGAACTGGCCCACTGGGCCCAGGCCCAACATCATTGTTACCATAATGGCTGTACGGTATCACAGGCCCATTAGGAAAGCCCATAATCGGAGGAGCGTAAACAGACCCCTTATCAGTCTCCACCTCCACCCTCTTCCCCATGATCGATATAACCGAGTCTTCCACTTTCAAACCCCCACCGAACAAATCGAAATTTTGCGCCGGCCGATCATTCAGATTAATACCCACAGCAGTACTGTCTGCAGGCTCACCCGCGAGGTTCAGGTCAAGGCGGAGAGAGTGGGGCCCACCAGCCTCGGAATTTCCTGACGAGTTGAGATCAATATCAAAAAAGCTTTGTGGCTGCCGGGGAGAAGCTGGCCGGAAAGCGCTGGCTGAGGCCGAGATTTTCAGCCCCAGATTTCCTTCAAATTGCAAAGGGGAAGAAGGGGGCCCGCGAGCTAAAGCGGCTCTCGAAGAGGATATGATGGGAACGGGCGTCGAAATCCGACGGTCAGTGTCGTCCGAATGCATGTCTTGGTTCAGGTCGAAACCACACGGGCTTCTATCCTTATCTAGGTTCTTTTCGCCAGCTGGCGATTTGCTTCTGCTATCGGGTTTGGGGGAATCTGGCTTTTTCTCAGAAGAATTTTGACTGTGTTGTTCTTTGTGATCTGAAATTTCTGTCTCGGAAGCTTCATCTTTGGTACTCTTCTCATCCATGTCCTCACCACATGGACTCATATCTCTGGAAGGAGAAAAAATACGCGAACCCGATTTTAGTGCAACCTCGGGTTTGCTTTCTGAAGCATTGTTTTTTTCTCCAGAATCTATGTTCTCTGTTGTACTTCCATTTTTGGCCGGATTACACAATCCAACCGAATCCTTTCCCGAAGAATGATTAACAGTTTCCAAATCGGGATTTGGCAAGGGAGTTAAAGAATCAGATATATTATCTGACTTGCGATTTTCTTCAACAGCATGCACAGCAGGCGAACTAGTAGATACCATTCGATCATCTCCTGATAATATTTTGCCTTTTTCATAGTCATCTACCGAAGATTCAATCTTTTCCACGTCATCACTCGTCGTCCAGCTATCGAACAAAGCTCGAGCTTTATCCCGCACTTTAGCACTACTGTGGCTTTTTAAATCCTCGACAGCTGTCCATACCTCACTGGACACCAGAATCTCGCGGTCCGCACGAAGCCGTTCGAGAGCTTGCAGCAGACGAGCAACTGACTCTTCGAGAAAGGAGTTGTTTGGGTCATTCCCAAATTTATGAGCTTCTTTGAGCCAGCAGCCCAAAAATCGAAGGCCGTCTAAATGGATGAAAAGGTCGAGACATTCTCGGTTCTCAGTGGCAACTATAGCACTCCCGACAGCTGACCACTGCCTAGTTGCTTCATTCACGTTCTTCACAATGTCATTTTTCTGCTTCTGCATGACGGACACAAGCTCATTGACTCGAGAAGGGGCAGTGAGCCCGTTATTCATCTCGGTCAAGGTGAAAAAGTCGTCGAGCGTCATAATCTCTCGCGAATTGAGACCCTAATGGATTATTGTATGCTCAGGCATCTTCTTCTTGGTTTAGTGTCTCCTGAAAAAATGGCACACGTGCAAAATTCTTAATACGACGAGTGTTGACACTTTTTTTAGTGATCCAGCTATGGATTTACTACAGCCGTAGTTTATTGAAAGATAAACGAACAAAAATGGTAGCCCCGAGTGAGGACTTCGGTTAGAGCAAAACCTGTAAAGGGATATAACCAAGTTCGTTAACGACAAATGGTTGTACGTACAAAAGAAGTAACAGAATAAATGTGAAAATATAAAGTTTAAATTTTTTTCCCGAAAATCAGCCAACTTGTACAAGATCAGAAAGGCGCATCTCAGCTAAAAAATAAAGATACTTAATAAGGGACAACTACTGATATTGCATTATTGAAACCCCACCAATTTGATAAATAAAGGTTAAAAATGTAGGAATTGAAAAATTACTAATAATTTGGCTAGAAATATCACAAGGTGTTCTATGAGAAAAAAGTTTGAGCGATAAGCCCATGAGGCAAACAAGACCATGTACAAGCAGATAATAAAAGTGGACAAGCTTTATTAAGAAATAAGAAATTGATGGGATTTTATGCGAAGTTTAGAAATCAGCACAGTAAAGCATGTCCTTAAGAACTCAACAAGATTCAGTTCCCATAAAATATTTATCACATCAAAATGAGCTCCAAACACGAAGTTTCGACTTGTCACATCGAGAATATTCAACAATTCTCCCATTAATCCAAAATTTTGCCCATCAAAAGACAGCAACAGAAATCGAATCTATACTACATAGATCATGTATAACAAACACAACTCACAAAACAAACCTACTGAAAACAAAACAAACAAATCTGGGGTTTCTCACAGCTAACAAAAAATTTACTAAAAACAGAAACGGCAAAATTCAGAAAAAGAGGGACCAGAATGAGAGAAAAGATCGACCTGTAACTGAAGTCCGAAACCCTAGACGAACAATTGTTCAAAAGCGCAAAAAATTTGACAAAAAGTTACGCAATGACCAGGAGATACATGGTACAAATATGTCTGAAATTATAGTAATCAATGCAGCAAATTAGCGAACAAATCAAAAGAAAGAGGATCCACATCCAGCAAGAAAAGAGATCTCAAGAAAATCATAAACAAGTAAAGGGTTAAAACCTAAAAAACACAGGCAGAGCTTTCCAAGCTCTTCTAACAACTTTGAAGAAAAACTCATAATTCCAAGCTCAAATAAAAAATCTCACCTTTTTTCCACTCACACTCAAAACCTCAATTTTTCAATCACGTCGCCTATAAATAAAAATAGAAAAAAAATTAAATAAGCGAGACAAAACGAAAATTCTGCCGAGAGCCTGAGAGAACCTTTTTGTTCTCTGTGTGACGTTCTATTGTTCTCCACTTGTTCTCCTCTTCATCCTGCTGAATTTTTCTCTTCTAATTTCTGTGTTTTGACCTATCTTTTATGTAATTTATTAATTATTTACCAGAAAGCTTGGCTTTGTTTGGTCGCGTGTAGGGATTGAACACGTGCCGCATGAGTGACAGCCCGCATAATGGGCTTTCCGGGCCTCATTCCTCTTTACGTGAGCTGAAACAACAAGGGGTGTAATTTTCTCCAACAAAAAATTGGGTCAGGCCCAAATAATGTTTGGACCGGCTACGTAGTTAATTTTTGACAACATCATTTTGGGAAATTTTCATCTATCTGCAAGATTTATGTGGTAATTGTTTATGAAATAATTTGTTCAAAATGAATTATTTTGGTTAACTATAGTTAATTTTGAAAAAGATAGTATAGTTAGTTGTTAATGGAATTTTAAGAATGTATAATAATATTTAAAATAAAATAATTAAAATTGATTTAATGTAAAAGTTGGAGATAAATGATTGGAAATGATTGATAGTTAAAATTATGTGAGTGGAAGTGAATGAATAGTGAATTGAAGTTGATGTGATGTATAAGAATGATTGGTTTGTATAATTTAATTATATGAATAATATTAAAAGTATTGTGGGGTTGAGTTAAAGTTGAGTTAGATTTTGAGTATGAAATAAATGAGAATGAAATAATTCATAAACAATCAAGCCCTTAGATTTATTTGCGATCTTGCAGCTACTATAAGTTTAATTGCATATCTATCTAAAACTATTGAATTAATTGGAGATTTACTTGATTTTAGTTATCATACAAAAAAACGTTGACTCATAAAAGAGAGAAATAAAAATAAATAACTTACTCATTTATTTCCTTAATTCGCGCAACTGGAATTCTTTAATTCACGCAGTTGTCAGGTGGTATATATTGCGTGTATGTTAGTATATATTCAATATATGTGCGCAACTGCAATTTCTTAATTCACGCAGTTGTCAGGTGGTATATATTGCGTTTATGTTAGTACATATTCAGTATATGTTGCAATGAAAAAAATGTCTTCCATAAAAAAATATATCTTCCTCTCTTTTTCTTCTTTTTTTTTTTCCTTTTAAACATAAAAGTATATATATA